TGATTTTATCTCCACCTTAGTTTGATCGCCTTGATCGCTACTCCACCACCACCACGAGGAGATTAGTTTTCATTTTTGAAAGGGTCCTTTCAACTTCTTGTTATTTCTGGCAGAGGCTGATCTTGTCTTTCGTTGGTCTTCTCGTACATTTCACAATAAAAGGCTTCAGCAACCTAGAGGAATTTTCTCCATAGTAGCAATGTTTCCATCTTGTTTTTTATATTTTACATATTTTTGTTGCCTATGTTGTTTGTATTTCATCTCAAAACTTTTGTTTTCTTGAATTATTTTTGTTATCTCTTTTGTATTGTTTTTTTTTTCTCTTATATCTTTTGTGTGCAAAGTGCCTTTGTTATTATTTGCTTGTTCAATATCTGCTATTTCATTTTCTAAGTCTTCTATAAATATGGTTAGTGAATCTTCATACAGTTTGTTATTTTTTGGAGAAATCCATTTATTCTTTTATGTTTTTATGATCCTCTTTCCAATTTGACATTTAATCGCATCTATGTTCAAATTAATCTGTGGCCGCTTCTTATTGAAAATTTGTTGAGGACTTCGATGTCTTTGATAATTTCTTTTCTGTTCGATATGATAATATCTATTTCATTTTTGACACTTCCATCTGGGATTATCCATGTTCATTTCTGTTGAGGCTTTTTATCGAAGAACATAGTTCATCATGACTAAATTTTCTTGGTGTAAGAAGTTGAGTACTCTTTGCCCTTACATACTTTTACTATATTGATACTTGACATTGGTACTTCTGCATCATTTTGTTCGCAGTCCCTTTTTCGTATTACAGTTGCCCATAATTATTGTGTAATATGTTGGAGTAACATGTAACATTGTTTCAAGGTCCTTATAGAAATCTCCAATTTCTCCATCCGAGTGGATATTCATTAAAACATATGCCTGGATTGCCTTAAAGTTATATCTTGCATTCAGTTTAAAAATTAGATATAAAATGCTCGGGCTTATGCTGTTAATTTTAACTATATTTTGTGTGTGTGTTTTCTATATAATGAATATTTCTTCACCATTTGAAGTGTCTTCTCCTCCTCTAAAATAAATTAGGTGTCCTGATTTAAGAGTAATTTAGGTTTGTCTTCTTAATCTTATTTCAGTGAAGCTGATATTGTCCCATTTTATTGTTTTCAACTCTTGATCTAGGTCCACCATCTTCTCAACCTATAGAAGAGTTGTATGATGCTGCTCTTTATAGTAGCCTGATTTTTCTGGAGATTCTCAGCACTCTCTGCTCCAACTGCTACTTTGGTTGAAAGTGTGCGAATCTCCAGAAACTGAGGGCCATTCAGTAATTTCATGTTTCATGAAAAATAACTCTTGGGATTTTTAGCCATTAAAACGGCACACTTGGCTAATACATGTTGACGAGTTGGTTTGTATGTGGAAAAAGAAAGGGTGATGATGGAAATGCTTTGGGTTTGGTCATTTAGATTTGGGATTCCCCAGCAATGAGTGGCTGGGGAAATCCATGTTCTCATGTGGGCATGTTCACTATTCCTGAAGTAGATCTTCCTCTTCTGGGATCCCAGAGAAGTATCTACCTGTTACTTAAGAATATATTATGAAGAATATAGAGATTGAAGAGATGGGAATGTAAAATATGTAGAAGAGCATTTGGAGTCAAAATACAGAATAATAACTGGTGAATGAGATTAAAAAATTTCAAAAATTAATATTTAAAACTTTGATGCAGTATTATTTTGTTAATAAATTGCATGTAAATAATTGTTTAGAGTAAGTTACAATTAATATTGTCTATGAACACACCTACTTGGTTGTGTAAACTCGGTTCGCTATTCACAGTCCGAACTGTCTAGTGAATTTAGTAATTATTTTTTTGTGAAGTTAGTTACTTTTTGACAGACTAAAAGAGGCTGGAAATTACTATACAACTAAGCACACATACTTATAGCCAATATTAATAGTAAACAAACTAAATACTAAATAAAATAGAACTTTGTGAATTACAGACAATTAATATTTATTTATCTGCACCATATAATAAATAGTTATGTTAAATTATAACAACTAAAATATATTTTTTAAATATATACTACCCAAAATTTGATGGGTTTAGTATACACTTCCACTATTTAGAATAATTCTTCTTTTTTTTAAAAGAAAGAAGTCTGCAATAGTAGTATGCTTGAGCTATTAATACTGTGAAGTAGGAATTGTTGTGTTGTAGGTTTCCAACAATGAATCTGTCAAAATATGCCCAAACTAAGCGAATGGAGTATAGTAATTTTTAGCCACTTCCAGTCAATGTCAAAATTATACAAGTGTAGCAAAAAATGAATTACTAAATTTACTAGACAGTAGGGACTGAATTTAGCAAAAAGATAATACCTGAAATTTTATTATTTAATCATCAAAATAGTACCTACGCAAGTAATCACCAAAATTTCTGTCATACACAGGCACCACTGTTGATTGTGGATTATTCAAAATTTGACTGGCTTGCTAGCTGCACTACTATTAAGTATCTTAAGCTGACAGCAGTGAAGCACTTAATACAGCTAAATCTAATAGAAGGCTAAATACTCTTTCATCAAATAGAAAAGTAAAAATTTTACATATAATACAAGTGGAAAAGAAATAGTTATCAAGATTCCTTAAGCAGGGGTCTTATCATGTGTGGTCATTAGTGGTTGACAACCTTTTAACAAAGCTTAAAAGAGAAGGATTTTATGCTCTGGGCTATGTAGATAATCTAGTTATAGTAGTTAGAGCTAAGCATGATAGTATTATCTGAGCACATCCAAGATGTCATAAACCCAGTAACTACTTACTAGGAGTTCAAAAAGAAGGGCTTTCAGTAAATCCTAATAAAAAAACATGTGTTTTATTCACAAATAGGAGGAAATTAGCATTTCAACAAATTACAACCTTGGACCATGAATGGAACAACTGTCTCATTCTCAGAAGAGGATCTTGCAGTTGTCCTAAAGGAATCCTTACATATAATGTTCACCTCACAAATATTGCTGCTAAAGCAACAATGGGTCCTTGGATGTGCAATAAACTTTGTGGCAAAACACAGGATCTCAAACCTAAAATGGTTTATTGGTCATATGTAACGGTTATCAGACCCATGGTTACTTATTCTGTGCTGGTTTAGTTAAAAAAAAACAACACAATAAATGGCAATGATATTTGCTTGTGTAGCAATCACAGATGATCATGGCCCACTGCAGTCTTAGAGGTAAACCTTCCTTCTTTGTACACATATGTAAGAGCAATCCCTCTATAACACAGCTTGGGATCTAAAATCTGGTGACCTTTCTGGGTATGTAGAGATTTTAAGGATTAGAATAACACAATCCACGAAGATGCTCACAGTCATTATGTAATGACTGTGGACATCATATATGTTTATGCAAAACAAGATTTCAAACTCAAATTAAATATTATCATGAGAGTCTTAGTTAACATAGAACAAAATTGCACAAATCACATATGAAGTGCCCTCACATTTTAAACTGGAAAGTCAAAAACACAAGAGGGGGTAGGAATAGGGTTTAGTGATCCTAACACCCAGACTGTTAATAGCACTCAGAAATACTTATACTCTAGTTCAAGCAGAACTAGCAACTAGCAATCAGTTTTTCTGCTAAAAAGTGCCTGAAAAAATGTCAAGCTACACTGAAGGCTATGAAGTATACAACTTATGAGTCAATACTTAACAGCTTGAAACTGCAAACTGAGAATTAGATAAAAATGGTATTCAACACAACAAAAAGCAAAAATTAGGGAATATTACTTCCATAACTATGTAAAAGGTAAGTAAATGGTGAGTGCCAGCACTCATTTCCAGTGTAAATTAGTTTTTCACTAAATAGTCTGCGCCTTACATGTAAATAGGAAAATTATATGCACTGTGCAGTTTCTCAGATAAGCAGATACCATGAATGTACAGCTGAGAATATTCAAATTGATGGATACTGATGATGTGCCAGAACATAAAGGAATTAATAGTAATGAGATTGCTGATAGTCTTGCTAAAGAGGCATTAAACACTTTTTTTTAGCTGACTAGGGCAATTTTGCAGTTTTAGAAAATCATGCATAGTAGATGATCTCTGAATCAGAAAAGGAACTTTAATGTAATCTACAAGCAAGGCTAAATATTACATTTCTCAGGCTACATCAGTAGTGAATATTAGTTTATGTAAATCTCCTAAAAATAGTTGAAAATCCTATTGCTTAATTCAATTGGAAATTTAAAAAGTTGCCAAGAATTGAATCAGAAGGTAACTGTGCTAGTAAATATCAGACTGATAAGGAAATGTTTCAAATATCAGTGTTAATCTAATACAAGGAGTAGTATCAGCTATTAAATTAGTGTGAATCCAAGCTTATCAGCAAATATTTGAACTATACAGGATGTAATGATCACAATAAACCTGATTATTCCATGCCAATAAAATGTACATTTATTGTTAAATATTCAACTGCAGTAATGTAAAAATAGAAATAGATCCCACATAAATGTTTATTAGCAACCTTGGTATACCACATACACAAATAGTTTTATTTTCTTGTTGATAACTTGAGCTAATAGCCCAATATTATTTACTTTTTATGTAGAAAGACAGAACCAAAGTATAAGTGACATTCTAAGCTAAATTACAAAATGTGATTAAATTGTATGGATGAATAAATTATAATAAATGAATAGATGAATTATATAAAACTGATTAATTACTACTCCAATAATATATTTTTTGTATCCTGAAACTTGCAAATATGTACTGGGAAATATGTTTAAAGTGCCACAAATAGATTTTTATGATTTAAAAATATAGAGAGGTATCACAAAATGGAAAACAACAATAATGGATGAAAATTAAGTTAGAACCATGTCATAAGAGAGATAATTATTAAAAACAACTGTCATATGGAAGATTACCACCAATATTGTTTTGATAATTAAGTACTTATTATTACTTAGTTAAAAGCAAAATTTACTTACGGTTCTGCTTCAATGCTTTTCAACTTAGCCACATAGTTTGATGGAATGTACCCCTCTTGTCTTGTTCTTTTACTTCTTGCCAACCACCAATCTCCTTGTGTATCATTTAATATTTCTAAATGTTCACCTTTCCTAAAACTAAGATCTTCATCAGTTCTCGCGTCGTATTCGTATAAAGCAACAAAAATACGGGCACTTGGTTGCTCTGGCTCAGTGGGATTTACCACTGGAGCTCTGGCAACTTCTGAAGGAGGGGTTGGTATAGGGTTCACTTGTAAGGTATTGTCTTCTATTTGACTAACTATGCCTCTAGTATTATTTCTTTCTACTCTATCTGTAGTAGTGGGGCTCCTAAAACAATTGCCCATTTTCAATTGTTTTTATTTTGTCAATTGTTTTTGATTCACTTCACAAAAAGTCAACCATCACCCACTTCACTTATTACCGTATTAAGTAGTGTATTTTAGCACCGATTAATATTTATTATTAACTACTGTTCACTAAAAAAATAGGTATATTATACATATCAATCCCTCGGTCCATCAACCTCGATTTACAAAGTAAATTTATTACAATAGGGAAAGGCAAAAAGCAAGTGATTGTGATTAGAAACAGAAACTTTCGCTTTCGCCAGTGACTGTTGGCGATAGGTGTTGGCCGATTGGTAATCCTGCATGTCAGGTTGACAGAATTGTAGGTTAGATTTAATTTTGACATATGACTTAACAACATTTCTGCTGTGTCAACTCGGCGAAAAAGCAGTTTTAGAAATTGTGTTATTATATCAAAGAATTTACAAAAGTAAAACATTAACTCAACTCTTTAAATACGTTTCTGTGATATTAGAACCTATATCATATTATAACCAACATGCCGCAATACAAAAGTAAGTAATAATTCTTATCACAAACTTTTAACCTGTATTGTATATTTGTACAAATTTAGTTTTTCCTTGCAAATTCCTCATTAATTGATATGGTTTTAGTAAAAGTAAAATGGGGAAAGGAATCATATCCAGATATTGAGGTTAATACAGAAGAACCCCCTCTTTTATTTAAGGCACAGTTGTTTGCTTTGACTGGAGTTCAACCAGAAAGGCAGAAAGTTATGATTAAAGGAGTTACTCTTAAAGATAGCGACTGGAATAACTTTAAATTGAAGGATGTAAGTAAAATCATTTGTTTACAAAATATATGCTTTGTCATTTACGCAGAATTCAACCTATTGTGAAAATATGATTGTTATAAATAAATTCTACTATGTGGATATTTTGGTGATGAATAGGTCTATTACTTTATTGAGTTTCTATTTATCTATATTACTCCTTGTTTCATTTTAATATCTTTCTTAATTTTTATTATTTTCATAAAGTTCTTTCTTGGCTAAGTTCTTCTATGTTTACCTTGTGTTGAGTACTTTTGATATTCAAGTCTGATGAATTTTTATGTACCTGATCATAAGTATGTATACAACAAATATATATGTATCTGTGACCTGTTTGCTGTTGAAATCCCAAGCTGTTTTATAAAGCAATTTAAATATAATATGTAATTATTTTATGTTGTGGCATTACTTAAAATAAGGCATATCAGTAGTTTAGTCACCACCAATTTTCTCTGAATAAATTATTGAGTTGATATAACACTTTTTTGGGAGAATTTGGTAAAAATGGCATTCAAATAAAAAAGGCAAAAATTAAAAAATGTTTTGGTATTTCTTTCATACATATATGTAAAAGTAAATGGTGAGTGCCAGAACTTACTTCCAGTGTGAATTAGTTTTTCACTACATACATTACATGTAAATAGGCAAATTATGTACAGTTTCTCAGAGATACAGATAGCATGAATGTACAGCTGAGAATAGTTAATACCATACATATTGATGGATTCTGATGCTGTAGCAGCACACAATCAAAAAAACAATTCAATGTCTTAGGTTTTTGGTCACATAATAAGCAGAAAAATATTGAAGTCCCATCTCCAACTAGATATTAATATGTAAACATATGCAGTATTTTTGTATGGCTCTATAAAACATTCTATTTATTGAACAACCATTAAAAACCTGGAAAAACTCAGAAATCACATAAAAGAAAATTGTGAAGATGACAACAACATATAGATGCACAAAGCACAAAGGTTTGTTTTGTTTGTTGTAGCGAACAGTTAGTGTGTGTTTAAACTTGAATGGAGAAGATTTTCATCAGCTGTTTAGTTTTATGAAAAATTAAATCTAAGTTTGCAATTGAAATAATTATTTGTTTCTTTTTTTGTTGTATCATTTTAGGTTTACATGTTTAATAAAATTATTAAGTAATAAATAAAATAATCTTTATTGTGCATAACCAAAATACAAAAAAAATGTTCATACACAAATAGGAAGTATAGCTAAACATATTTTAACATCTACCACAAGATTGACACACAAGTGTTTTATAAAAATTTAGCAATTTATGCTATATTTAAATTATTTGCTTTAAACTTAACCAACACTTAATGTCAAATTTTTGATAAAATGGGAACAAAAATTTTAAATTTAATAAAACATGCAAAAATGTCTAGATCTGAGAGTTACAGCAGTTAGGTTAGGTTAGATTCAATATAAGTGAGTCTAAACCTCCCTTCCACTTGGCCTATCGTGACTTATCCCTAGGTTAAAGTTGTCCTTTCAACCCAGTCTTTTTAACAAAGTCTATTTTGCATTGCATCTTATCCTATCTAACCCTGGGCAGTTGCACAGAATGTGTTCTGTCATTCCGTTATCAGCCTGACAGAATCTGCAATTCAGACTCTCTGTTAGTCTGAATTTGTTCATGTGCCCCTTCAGATGTCAGTGTTCTATTAGGAGACCTACGATAATTCACACATGATTCATATTCATGTCTAGTAGATTTTTAGATCTCTTCTTCAAAGGTTTATGTATAAAAATCTTTGAATGCATGAGACCCATTTATTCATACCAGTGGTTATGTTTTGTCGATTCCACCCAGTTCGATATTGTTCTTTTGGCTAGGCTTCTAGCTATGTGATTGAAAAGTTCTTTGCCTATGAATGTTTCTTTTGCCTCTCCCCTGGCAAGTAGGTCCGCATTCATTCCCGTCAATACCAGAGTTACAACAGTATATTCTACTTATTTTAAGATCTTTCAATATTTCATTCTTATTGTCGCCATTCTGGTGACAACTATCTGTGATAATTTAAAATTATACATAATACCATTAAAAGATTACAATCATAATTTAGTTTAACAATCAAAAATGTTAATATTAAAACCTCCACTGTATAGTAAGACTTCATAATTACAAATACTGGTTACTATTGGTCATATACCATCCAAGAGATAATACTATGTCAATTATTAGGTCATGTAAGCTTAATTTTGGTGTATCATTGCGATTTTGCTACTTCAAAGAAGATTTTAAACTTATAGTTTGTTTATTTAAATGGGAATAGGCCACAATTAAAGTTTAAAGTATGTTTATTGACGTTTCAATTTGAACTTCGGAAATCATTCTCAAAATACAAACATTAGTAAATTTCAATTTACTAATTTTTGTATTTTGAGAGCAATTTCCGAAGTAGAAATTGAATTGTCAATAAACATACTTTAACCTTTAATTGTGGTTTATTCCCATTTAAATAGTAAATACTTTAAAATGCCACAAGAAAATAGTTTCAGAACAATATTATAGTATGTCCCTTTAACTTGAATCTAACACTGCAATTATGTCTTCATACTTTGTATTCACATTCATATTTTAAAGGTAGGTAGGTTCATGTTAGTGTAGCTATTTCTTCTCCAATATTTTTATTTGCAGTTGTCTGTTTTGTTTCTTGAAATAATTGTAGCCAAATAGTTGTTTGCCACCATTTTGTATAAAACTTTTGTGCCAAACTGGTGGTGTGGTGCTAGCTCTATTTTACTTTATCTTAGATATCTCATGTTTTTAATAGCTGGTAACCTAATTTGTGACCTTTTTTTCGCAGGCAACCTTATATCATCATATTTCATGTTATATAAAACATGCATATATCGATACATTTTTGGCAAAGTAACGTAACATTTTTGGCGAAAATAATGTTGTTCAATTAAACTAATGCTATTACTGTTAAAAAGGTACTGAAAGAGTGTAGTAAGCCTAGAATTACTTTAAACCTTTTTTAGGACAAGTAGAGCAAGTTTTTTTCAGTCATAATTCAAATAAGTTTAACCAGGTTGAATTAAAAAATTGTTTTTTCTACAAATCGTTTTTGATGACTTACGTTACTTTGCCAAAAATGTATCGATATGTCATGAACTGCATATTTTATGTAAAAAATAAATCAAGGAAATTTTTGTTACCTTTCAGCGCTCGCGCCCATATTTTTTACATCATAGCGCGCGTGTCATATTTTTTATGTATTTTGGATAAATGTGAGTTATCTGATATTTCTTGAATGTAAATTATAAAAATATAAATATATTACAAATAATAATAAATAAACATATTTATTTGCAAAATTTACAAATGAAAACAGAAATTACACTTTTACTTTTTAGTCTAGGTAAACAAATAAATCAATATACAGTTAAAAAACTATCATCCTGATTGTTTGTATTACAGGAGTTACACAGAATTGTAGTAAGTGAATGTTTTTTGCAAGTAAAAGAATTGCATTTATCGCATTTCATGGATGCCGTTGTCCTTTTTCTTTCCGCGTTACAAGAACGACAAACTCCACGTTTTGAAAGACGAACTGTTTCCTCGTGTTTATTTACAGTTTGTCCATATCTAACTTTTAGAAATGCGCCAACATCTGAGGGTAAATTGGTTAGCTGAGCTCTTGAAACAGGTGCTCTTTCATTAGACTAAGCGACAAATTTTTCAAAAAAATTCTTCGATCTTTTGGCAATTATCAGGACACGAAAATCTATATAAAACTTGCGCATTTATTCCACTTATGTTCAATAAACTGTAAAATATAACACAAGGCCATCTCCTGGAAATGCGAGAAGCTGAATATGTTGCACACATTTTGTCCACTGTATCAACACCCCCCCCTTAGTTTCATTATAATCCATAATTACTTGTGGTTTTTGAGTGTCTGGATGTATTTCGTCGTTATCGTGTAAAGTTGAAAGCAGAATTACAGTTTTGTTTTTGCGAGGCACAAAAGACACAAGCATCATGTCTTTTTGGAATCCAAAAAGACAACTTTTAGTAACTTTTTCCTTGTTAGGTAAAAATTCTGCAGGAATTTCTGCCTTATTTTTTTTCAAAGTTCCAACTAACGTGATATTTTTTTGCAGTAAATAATTAGCAAGTGGAATACTAGTATAGTAGTTGTCGGTAGTAAGATTTCGATTGCTATTTTCTATCGAAGAAACAAGTCTCTTTACAATGTCAGTTGGTGAATTGGATGTTACGTACGGACTATCGGGCTGTTTGCCGCAATATATTTCTAAATTTGAAGTATAGCATGTCTTTGTATCACATAAAGCGTACATTTTGATGCCGTATTTTGCTGGTTTGCTTGGCATGTATTGCACCCAACTGCAACGACCTTGAAAAGGGTGAAGCATTTCGTCTATTGTAACGTATGCACCAAGTTTAAAGGATGTTTGAATATTGGTCACAAATGCATCAAAAAAGTCACCATTGCAGCCAATTTGGTTGTGCGATCATCAAATCTCAAGCAATTTGTTATAAACAAAAATCGTTTGTAACTCATAACAGCCCTTATTATCTCAATTCCTGTTCGTCGCTTGCCCAAATTTCTCTGACATTGCAAAATGCGATTTTTTTATCCCAATCAAAATCAGCAACCCTAAATACGCCATAAACTCGTTTTGTTTATATCCTTGCAGTCTCGTTCTCTAGAATATACTTGACGTGTTCTTATTTCAGCAATATATTTATTAGTGCAGCATATAATATTGTCGATCATGTCAATGTCTATTATTTTCAAAAAGGTTTCTTGCTCATTATTGATATTTCGGGCTCTATGAGTGACCCCAGGCTGCTCTTTTACAATGTTAGTTTTTTTTATCTTCGATGAAGTTGCCGTTTTCATTTTGTACCATTTGGTAGTTTTATCTTTTGCTACATAATAGTCAGAAAATGAAGCTGTTACGGATTCATCATCGATAATCCCTCTTCAGAACAACTGTCTACATCTTCTTCTTCTATATACTCCTCAGACAAATCACTATCACTAGACACAGAGTGATCTGACTCGTTTTCGTTTTCATCCCATAAAATGCTCAGCTAAATAAGCAATCTCCTCTGTTGACAAAGGACGTTTAGACATTTTCCTGGTTTATCTGAAAAAAAAACAAAAATTCAATATCAATATTATTATTATTATTTAATTTCTAAACTTAAAATCTGATACAGAATGCAAATAAGCGAAATAAAATTGTTTAAGATCATAATACTTACATAAATAAAAATAATTACTCCAAAACTCGCGTGCTATAAAATTTATGATGACTGTTCCTCTTCATTCAAATATCTCACAACTAAATTCAGTATTCAACCAACCAAAATTTACCTGCCACATCGTACCTAAAGGGTCATTTCAAGAATAGAAAAGTGTTAGGCAGCAACTAAATTTACAATAACAGTGGCGTACACTATTTTGTTAAATTGTCATAAAATTTATGTAGGCGCGCGCGCTGAAAGGTTAAACAATTAATAACCATTATTTAAATTAAAACTATTTGCAGCCACTTTTTGACTGGCAACCTGTTGTCAATGTATTCTCCTATTATTAAATGCATGTAAAAATGTGAGTTTGATTAAGTAAGTTATGCTTGTATTGATCTTGCAGTGGTATCTCATACTATTAAAATATACTACATATCTAAATGAGGTTTAACCCTTTGCGGCCCACATTGTTTTTTTTCTCATTTTTTCTAAAATAAAAGAAATTTCGGAAACTTAATTAATTAAATCAACACTTTTTCTGAAAATTTAAATTTAATAGTAACAAATATTACAAAAAAAGTATGGTTTCACCGTGAAACCACTGGGACACAAAAGTCACTTATTCAATGGTATGGAATTTTTGGAAACAATTTTTATTGTCAGATAAACACAGACCAATATCGCATGTTTGACAAAACCAGCGAGTCCGATGAACCTTTGCGGTTGTACTGCATAACCCACATCTTCTTGATGTTCCATGAAGAGGCAAATGAGCCACTCTATCTATATCTAACTTTTTGTTCTAATCTTGTATCTAACTTCAATAGGTACATATTTTTTGAAAGTATTTACTGCATGTTTTGGTCCCTTTTTTGGGGTATCTGTATTAGCACCAATAAGACCTGTAACAACGGCTAATCGGAATTCTTTTAAGGATAATGCACGTCCTGGACTTCTACATTTAAATATGATAAACGCATTAGTTACTGCTAAATCAAGTAAATGGAAAAAATGCGATGCCACCATTTCTTACTTTTGCTATTTATTTCGTATAGACTCTTCAGCATATCCGCCTTATCCACCCCACCCATATATTTGTTGTAGTCTTTTACAACTGTTGGTGCAGCCACAGTTTCTTTGGAACCATTCTTCTGTCTTCTTTCGACAGATACCATTTCAGTAGGATCATGAAAGTTGGACAAAAATTGATCCCCTTCTTATCTCTCCACCTAGTGAAGACCACTTTATTGGAAGCCTGCCGCCAATCTGTTTCTCCTCGATCCATCTGTTTTTCGTCTACAATATCTTGTGGCAAATTAGCACGATCAGATTTTACTGTACCACATGCGTAAATATTGTTCTCCAATCAATATTTCATAAGTGATACCGACGAAAAATAGTTGTCAAAATAAACCTTGTGTCCTTTGCCAACAAGAGTTTTTGTGAGATCTTTCACAACACGTTCACCTAAACCAGTTTCCACCTTTACGTTGTCTACTTTGCCAGTGTTTATTTGGAACTCGTGAACATAACCAGTCACAGCATCAGTACGTACCCAAAGTTTGTACCCTCTTTTTATGGGTTTTTTTGGGCATATACTGCTTCAAAGTGGAACGGCCCTTGAAACGAATCATACTTTCATCGATAGACTGATGCTCTCCTGGCTTATAGTACTGTTGAAAAGATTCCAGTAGCTCTTCTAAAATTGGACGTATTTTATAAAGTTTATCGTAATTAGGAGTTCCTCTTTCAGGCTGAAGGGAATTATCATTCAAATGTATATGCCCAAGTAACCAACTAAACCTGTTTCTGTTCATTATTTTCGAAATATAGTTATCTCTCAAAATATCCTGTGAAGACCAGTAATCTCTGTAGCTAGGTGATGACTTGATACCCATAAGGATATTTACAGCTAAAAATTGTAAAATTTCACGTTTAGATGTTGGCTTGAACGGTTTACCTTCTTGAGTCGCATACAAATTCGTTTGAAACACTAAATTTTGCAGTATATTTTTATTCATCAAGAGCAAAAAAAATTTATGAGGATATTCTATTGTACTCTCAACAGATGGTCCATGTTCCATATTGAAAGGAATAATAGTATTTGGAATGAATTGTTTATTCCAAATAAGGCCTGGATTTTTTGATATATTTTTCTTTTCTGTCACTTTAGATGTTTTCTTAGTATTTTTAGCAGGTTCATCTACCTTCCGTTTTCCTTTCGAATCACTCTTTTTTATTAGTTTATTGGCACCTTGCGTGTTTTCTCATCATCGTCACTGTCCTCTTCATCTTCGCTACTTTCAATTGTTCTCAAAATCTTTGGAGGGACAAGTGTAACACTCATAGATTTATTTCCGTTTTTGATTGATGAACATTCTCCTAATTCAGTGGTCGATAATATGGTGATGTCTGATAGAATTTTTATTTTTTTTTTGGTGGAGATGTTTCTAGAATAGTATCTCGATGAACCACTGGTAAATCCTCGGAGTCACTATCGGAACCCGAACTGACAATTGACTCCTTATCTGAGGGTATTTCTGCCAATAAATCCTCCAAATCGTCTTCGGACAACATTTCTAGTTGCTTATGACTCCACTTGTTACGTCTCATGGTACCTGAAATAAAGAATCTGTAGTTGCCCACTGGTTTCACTGTGAAACCGTATTTTTGGTGTGACCAAAAATGATACAAAAATACATCTTTGGTTACATATTTTATTCTAAAGAGTGAGTACTTAATTACGTGAGTAATTATTTTTGCTATTTTTTATCAAAAAACAGTCAAAATTGTAAGAACTCCAAACATATGATTTACGTGTTGTGACACTACCGCCATCATACCAAAAAAATTCTAACTATACAGAAAACTAAAACGTTTTGACTTCGAAGTTCATCTATTGAAATATAGATAACACTGCTAGTACGGCTACATAGTGAATCCAGTGGGTCAGCTGAGCACATTGGTGTGACGAAATTGGTGGTTTCGCGGCGAAACCAATGAGCCGCAAAGGGTTAACTTTGAATGACCTTATAAGTTGTATTTCATTTCTGATAAATAAATCCCATGTATGTTATTATCTTACAAAGCTAAACAAAAATCAACATTAATTTTTTTATTTTAGTTTATTTTTTTTTTATTGTATGTTATAAAAGGCCCAAAATTCTAAACAGCATAGTGGCTAACAACCTTTCAACTCACAACATTTTTATTTCACAGTTCTAAAAGAACACTCATAATCAGAAGATACTATTATATCCTGATAATACAACTAAATTGATTATGTATATATTAAGTTGATACTTAGTTTCAGATTCTTCCTTTCAATGTATCTAAGCCAATATAATCTCATATGTTTATGTTTTGGTTTTTCTTTGATACTGTACCCTTAGATCATGTTTTTATCTCCTTTAGTATCCCAGTGTACACATATTATGAAACTTTTTTATTCACAAGTTTGCTTTTAACAGTTTATTTGATTTTTATACATGTGTTTTTCCTAGGGAGTGACTATTTTGTTAATGGGCAGCAAAGAAGAAGATGTGCCTAAAGAACCTGTTGAAAAAACTGTATTTATGGAAGACATGAATGAAAGTGAACTTGCTACAGCTGTAAGTATGCTTACATATAACTATAATACAAATTGTATATCATAGTTACATAAGAATTTTAACAGTCATTTATTTTTCTTTAAATACTAGTTTTGTTAAAGTTGCCTTCGTATGATATAGAGTAATACTACAATGAACAGATCAATGATCTGGTTTAGGATTTCTCTTTTCTATTTTATCAATGTAATGGGTTTATAGATATTTTTAGGAGAAAAAAGAGGGCACTTTGCTACATTTCTACCACTAGTAGAGTATTTCTTTCTGATTTTCAGAGTCAAAATAAATTTTTAAGAAATTACTTCTTTTTATATCGATCATATTTCACTTGTGTTTGCTGAAATTAAAGTTTGGTCAAGTATTACTCTGTATTCTCCATAATTTAGATAAGAAAGATAATTACCTCATATTATAGATATTTTGTCTTTTATTTATTTATTTATTATTTTAATGACAGCTCTTTAATCTTTATTCTTATATACCTACTCTATCACTAATCAAATTCTTTTGCTGATATTACTAACAAAAGAGTATTAGTTCATCTCTACTCTCTTACATTACATTATTATCCTCATTATTATTGGTTCTACATCTACGTTTTTCTCTTTCTTTTAATTTACTGGCCATTTATTATTTTACATGGGGGCTGTAGAAGAATCAACTATAAGCTAAACATCTTGCATAAAAACATAATATTATACCATACTATATATTAGTAACTGCCTTGTCTTCTATTTTGATTCCATTCAGACATTCTTGTTTTTTGTACTTTATTTATGTCAACATATTTTTCCTTTTGTACTTAAATAAATTCACTTTTGTTACTGAATGTGTTAAATAATAAAAAAATTACACCCATGTTAGAAATACTAATAAACCGTTGTTATCTTTTTTTTTTAGCTTGATTTGCCAGCAGGTTTAACTAACTTAGGAAATACTTGTTACATGAATGCAACTGTACAATGTTTAAAAGTGGTTCCTGAGTTAAGAGAAGCTCTTCAGAGTTATCAAGAAGGTAAATTATTCATAATTGACATTACTATTTCACCATAACAAATTATTGCTTATAATATTGCTTCATTGTTTTATTGAAAACGTTTCTTATTTTTGTGAATTATTTAATTCTCATTGTTAAATTTTACTTCCAAATTTGCAGCTATCAAGTTAACTGGTAGTAATGTTGTACCAGCTCAGTCAATAACAGCAGCACTTAGAGATCTTTATACCAACATGGACAAAGGAAATACAGTTCCTCCTATTCTCTTACTTCAGGTTCTACATATGGCATTCCCTAGATTTGCAGAAAAGAATGAGCATGGGACATTGTCTCAACAGGTAGAAAATTTCTTTTAAGTTATTTTTTAACTCTGTTTATACTTATTGATTACTACATCCAGGAACTATTTAATGACTTTTAAATAAAAAATATGTGATAATATTCTCTCTCCAATGGTACTACAGCCTAAATCGAGCTTTGGTTTTCACAAAATGTGCCACCAACATTTCCGGTCTTGCACCGCTATTCTCCTAGTTCTCTTTCTTATCAAATTTTGCAATCCACTGCCACTTTATCCTCCCATCTTTTCCGTGACTGTCCTTTTGATCTTGCACTGAATTTTACTATCTATGGCTGTTTTCAATAATATGTCAGTACCCATTCTCACTAAATGACCAGTCCATCGAAATCTCTGAAGTTTAACAACTTCTGAGATCAGTGCCTCTTTCAACAGTTGGTACTTCGTAGAGTTTATGGTTGTACCTGGATCTATATACTCCATTTTCGTTAATAGATCCAAATATTTTCCTTAGGATCCATCTTTCTTTTTGTATTTTCTGTCATCATCCATGACTCGCATCCATAATATACTATTGGTGTGATAGACCCTGGTTTTCGATCTTCAGTATCTGAGTTCAGTAAGATCAGTACCAAGAACTTCATTTTTAGATTAGCAGTTAATATTTAATATACCTATTAAATTATTATTAATAAAACTTGCTGATTTGCCACAAGCTTTGCAGAAAACGTTTTCATCTTGTAAAGTAAGTTCTGCAAGATTTTTAATCCAAGATCTCACTAAATAGCACTTACCTTTCAGCATATTAAAAAACTCCAAATATGTATCTATGTTATGTCAATTAGTACTGAACTGTAGTATAAAAGTAAAAGAATATTGTTTAGGTCTTTAAGTTAATTGTAGAATACACCTGGGACGGTATGATGAAACATTTAGTATATACAAAGTAAAATCTTTTACTTTGTAAATTTTACTTTTATTTTTTTCCACTTCTACATGATAACTACATTATCAGCTCCACCCTATCAGAGCAGGTGTTCCACAAGGAAGTGTACTAGGACCTATTTTATTCCTGATGTTCACTGCTGACTTCCCATCCAACAGTAACACAGAAGTTGCTACTTTTGCCGATGACACCGCAATACTGGCCTTGGACTCTAATCCCACAAAAGCATCAGAACATTTACAAGAAAATATAAAGAAAATAGAAACTTGCCTAAAAAATGGCGAATTAGAGTAAATGAGACTAAGTCAACATGTGTAACCTTCAGAATGAAACGAGGTGAATGCCCTCCAGTCACACTCAATGGCAAGCAATTAAGTACGGCGAACGATACAAAATACTTAGGTATCCATCTTGACAAACGACTAACCTGGCAGAAGCACATCTGTACAAAAAAAAAACAACTGGGCATTAAATCTAGATATATGTACTGGTCGCTTGGACGACACTTTAAATTAACATTTTATAACAAACTGCTTATATACAAGGCGATCGTCAAGCGCATATGGATATATGATATTCAGCAAGGGGCACTGCTAGCAATTCTTATCTTGCAATCCTCCAATGCTTCCAGAATAAAGTGTTATGGTCTCTAGTAAATGCTCTAGTAAAAAAGAAGTTGTAACGAGTTACAATGTCAAATATTGTGAACAGATAAAAATGCATCCTAATGTACTCATGAAGTGGTTATTCGATGACAATAATCAAGTGCGTAGGCTGAAATGTTTTAAACCAAATGATCTGCCAACTGGAAGAGGCTCGACACGCTATGTTATTACTTATTATTCTTATTTTTGGATATATTGTAATTTTAATTGGAGTTAATAAAAAAAAATTCTTTCATGAGATTCCTGCATCCAATTTCTGGTGATTCGCTTTATATCATCTGTCCATCTAGTCGGTGGTCGTGATCTGTTTCGATATGCCTCTTGTCTTGGTCGCAATTCCAGAATTTTTCTGGTCCATCTATCATCCGTCAATTTGGTAACATGTCCGGCCCAAGCTCATCTAGAGTCAAGAGGTCGACCAGTCAAGAGGTCGACCGCAAATGAGATGGAAAGATGACATTGAGCAAAGCGCAGGTCCAATGAGGAAAAGACAAACAGAAGACAGAGACAAATGGAGACAAATGGGAGAGGCCTATAGCCAACACATGAATAAATTTTGGGCTATAGATAGATAGATCTCAAATACCTAACATTGATCTTTCTACAGAGTTAGTGTTTCTGCATCATTTGTAAGAACCAGTAAAACACATTTGTTAACAACCTTTCTTTTTAGACAAACTGGAATATTAGACTGTTGTAGACTGAAAATGTTGTTAAATCTACCAAGGGCAGTCCATGTGAGACCTATCCTTTGTACGACTGTCATTCGTAAAAAAGCTTTCTTGTGCCGCTCAGAAAGAATGCAGCGTACTGCGAGAAATCTGGCAACACTGCTTTATGAACCAACTCTCCCTCTCTCATCTACGTAATTATCTGTAAAAACCTTTGTATTGCATGACAATCATGGGTAATTTTAATGTTATAATGACACTAGGTTGATATTATATGATTTCACATGAAGGGAACACACATCTTCCTTGCTCGAAACATATCTCACCATAAGTTGTTTTTGTAGGAAAAAAGTTCAGTTTAGAGGGAAAGTCACATTTATTTAGCAAATTATCAAAAAGTAAGTAAAACAATGGAATGATCACGTGATCTTAATGACCACTGCTGTTATCATCTTCATTAATATTCAAATTATCTGGATCAGTATTACACTCTTAGTAATCTTTATTAGTGCCGTGAAGTAATTGTATATTTTTTCTCTTCTATCGTTCCTGTTTGTCAAATCCAAAGTGACGGATGTAACATGTGTTTTTTCCTTCGATTTTTGCATTGAAATATCCTGTAATTATTATGAAGTGTCCTTTTTCTTCACTTATTGTATTTATTAAATCTTGGTAGACGGTCGCCGCTTTTACGTTTTCAAAGTTTTCCGTTGGTACATAACTGTGTATAATCTTTTTAATCTGTATTTCCATGTAAAATAACTTTATGTAAAACATGATTTTTAGGACGCCAATGAATGCTGGACTGAAATGGTTAGGATGTTACAACAAAAATTACCAGCCAGGAAGAATGGTGGGGCTTCTGCAGAACAATTTAAGTAAGATAAAATTTTTTTTAATAATTTGAGACAAATTAAATCGAAAAAAATTGTAAACAATGTATAACCTAGAAAGAACAAGGTAAGAAATGTTACCGGAAACTTTATTTTACAAAAAGTCTACCTATGTTTAGTTGGTTACTTCAGCAAAATTAGCCAACACATTCACATGACGCTGTTAGTAACATTTGTTCGTGTAAGTGGTTACGTTTCACTCGTTCCGGCCAGTCAGATATCATATATTTTTTTTGGCTATGCTTCTTGCTGTGCCGACAAAAGTTTCTGGGACTATAAATGTTTCTTTTGCCCCTCCAGTAGAAAGTAGGTCTTCTTTTTCGTTCCCTTCAATACCAGTATGTGCAGGCACCCAAGTGTGTTACTTTTTCCTTTCCGAATCAGATTCTGAAGACAGTTTCAAACTAATTTGGAGTCGATTCGATTCCAGTGCCTGTAATGCTACCTGGCTACCCGATAGAATTTTTATGTATATGCAGTTTCTCTTTATTAGATCGTGCATCGGATCTCGATACCATAAATTTCTTCTTAGAAGATAGTGGAATAATTATCTAGACTTTTACTAAAGCTTAGCTTTGGTTTCCTTGTTTCTCTCTCAAATTAAAACTCACATAAATTATAAACGGTTTTATAAAACGATATTATATATTGTGACTGGTTTTTCGAAATTATATTTAGGCTTAAAAAGGTTCTGAAACTGTTTTCTTTCGATTTCCACTCCGGAAATCGTTTTCAAAAAAGATTATTTTAAATATTGAGCTGTTATTATAACCAACAGTTGTTCGGCGGTTATTGTTTTCCAAATTGGTGTGTGACTTAGTTGGCCTCGATTTTGTAATCTTGACAACCAGAGTCACTTACATTCTGCTTATGGGTTGTCTACATTTTTTTTTTCATTAATTAAGATGTTTGCTTCTTTCATTATTGATGCATCTTTCTATTGTACTCTTTACTCATTGTCCCAGGCATGTTTATATTTCTGTGATTTGTTGAAGTCTCTGATTTTTAATTATGTTTCATGCTCGGTTGTCCTGACACTCAGTGGTCTTGCGGTTTCTCCCACATAAAAATTGTTGCATTCACATGGTATTTTATAGATGCTGTTCTTTGATCTCTATTGTGTGTTGTGAGGTTAGGTTTTTGATATAATAAATCTCAATATATTGGTTGTTTTGAATTTTGTTCTGATACTTTACTTACTAAGTAACCTATTTAATTTTTCTGATAAAATCTTTAAATCCCTTCTTGGAAGCGTTTCTGGATTTCTTATGGTATTTTCTTGTTTCCTTTCTTCAATCTTATGAAATTTTTTGTTTATAAATGACAATGGGTAAGATTAACAGAATTTTCCCTGTAGCACCACATAGTAAAAATATTTAATGTTCGTTGATGTGTGCTGGATAGAACATTACCGCATTTTCGTCTTACTGTAATTATTATATCATCCGCACAGGCCTGAATTAATCAGGCCATCCACCAGGAGTGACCACCTGAGTGAAGAAAAAATACACGTGGGCTTGATCAGTGTCAACCTTCATTACAGATATTTAGAGGCGGAGTTTCATTTAGTTGGTTATTTCATTTAGTAATTTTTCACATGGGAATTTTTTTGAATAAAACATAAAAATTAGTGCCAAGAAGTTAATAAGTTTACTTCTTACTAATAAGTTTTTGTTTGTTTTAGATCATTTATAGATCAATTCTTTGGAGGTACCTTTGATGTTGAACTGAAGTGTGTAGAAGCTGAAGATGAGCCAGTGTCAAAAAGCAAGGAACAATTCCTGCAGCTTAGTTGTTTTATATCGCAAGATGTTAGATATATGCATTCTGGTTTAAAAAATGTAAGTTGACTTATTTTTACCATCAAGCGCCACCAAGCGCTATTATCGGTAGATTCTGTAGATCACAAAACATTATTTATGTTTTGTGCTAAAATAGCGATGTCTTCATAACTGTCGTCTGTCGAATGTTATTGTCATAATTCTCGAATGCCGAATATTAATTGATGTTGATGATTAATTATTAATTCAATATTTGTTTTTTGTGTTTTAGTTAAAAGTGCTGTTAGATCAAGGAATATCGTATTTAGGATTAGAATATTGAAATATCGTATTTAGGATTAGAATATTAATTGTTTAGTTAAGGCGTGGTATAAGGAAGTTTTTTTTTTAAGTTAAGTTAGAAGTTAGTGTTACATTAGCCTTTAGTCTGTTGTTTCCCAGATCAAAACCAACTACAGATAGGTTAACGGCAAGGACAGTTTAAATCAAACTACCAATATGCCTTTAGATAATCTTTGCTTTTGCTTACAAATTTTAAAACAGGTTTCTATGATTCCTACTCTCATGGCATATTAATTTAATATTATGTATTAATTACTACATGTTTTGAGTTTGATTAAATGAAAATTATTGGTCTAATCTAATGTCCCTGAAAACTTTCAGAACTAATTTGTCATATTTATTCGAATATATAAACAGGATTAGAGTTCTCTCTGTTGATCTAGTCTTGAGCATTATTTGCTTTCCTCAAATCGCGAGTATAGGGTATTCACCATCTTACGCCGCTAAAGGATTAGTAAATATAAGGACAATAAATGAGGTATTGGCGACGTGCAAGTACTTGGAGGGGATACGGGAAACGATCGTGCGCGAGTAGTGAAGAAATCTTGCATTTTTTACTGCACATTTCATAGATTATAGATTTCATAAATTCATATTGTCAATTGTCATATTTCATATTCGTTTTGTTTATTTACACCTTCTGTCACTGAAGAAAATGGGATTTAGGAAATGCTGTGTTATAAATTGTAAAAATACAACAAAAAATTGTCAATTTAAGTTTTATTCGTTTTCAACTTCGAAGCACAAAGCTACTACAAAGAGAAAAGTGGATTTATATCATAAAAAAGCATAAGTAACATAACCTAAGTTATGCATTATTCTTGCGCCCGATTTTAAAGTCAGTTTGAAATAAATAATAAATAAAAGTTCACTTTTAAGTGTAAATTTTAGTTTCATAACACTCACTTAGAGTTCATTTTAACCCAAAAATCAAGTTTAATGTTTGAATTTTATTTTTTTGAAGTTTACAAAAATGCATCAAGTTCAAGTTTTTCTGAAGATGCATTAAGATATATTTGCTGTCCAAAAGTTTACAGGGAAAGAATTAATTGTTCAAACCAATATGATGATATCATGGGCTTAACCTGCTAATTTATGCATTAGCATTATTTATGGTAATTTATTTTTCTTAATTCTTCCACTCCACATAATTCTTCCATTCTTTTTTTGACATTTGCCACTACTAAAGCTTTTCCCTTTGATTCGTGCTTGGTTTAAAAGTTATTTGGTGATTTACTTTCTCAAATCCAGTTTTTATTATTGCATCCATATTAACAGTAATGCTGTAATTCAATAATATATTTATTTGTATTTAAGCTACATCAACGTTTACCTTTTAATAACATACCGACATAACCTCAATCTTACTTTTTCTTCTTATTCTTTTTGGGGGCCACGTCCTTGACAGTTATCCGGTAACCTCGATCTAACATGAAAGCGCAGTAAATTTGGCTGATTTACGACACCAGGTGTCGCTGTTCCGAACTTGCACGGTCCCAATACTATGAATAATCCTTTAGAGGCGTAAGTTGCTTGAATACCCTGTATATGAAATGAACGTTAGGACGAAGTTCAAAATTTCCCGTGCTTAATAGAAATTCAATTTTCGCGCGATTACAATATTACCAACTACACAAGGCGTTTGTCAATTAGCAAGCTCTCCAACATGATAAAAATATTGATTAGTACCAGAACACTCCAACGTGGCGCTGATGATCACAACATTTTTTTGTACAGAAGTAGGTTATCTCTCCCTCCTTTAAGCTATGACCTTAATATCAAAATCATCACTTAATCCAAACCTTAGTAATAATTCGTACTCAGACTCTATCCCTATCCAAGTACAGACATTTCTTAGACAATACAAAAGAAGAATGTCAAGTAGACAACAGACGCTGTGCTCGCCTCTTTGATATTGGTTGCCGTAGATAACAGACGCTTTTTTCGCTCTCTCCTTTCATAGTGAACGAGTACTTAAGAAATAGTACCGTGTATCCGTGTATACAGTCAAAAAATACCTCAAATCCGTTATAGACAGATACCGTACTAATCCGTTACGAATCCGTAACTAATCCGTTACTAATCCGTAAAAGACAATTAAAGCACGTTGATACTGCGAGTGTATGTAAAAGTAATATTGGTAAACTTTTTATAAACTTGATTTAGCTTTTGTCTGTATAGCATTTAATTACCTCTTCTAATTATATTGAATCAAATCCTATTATACAGTCCAAAAACTCTGAAATTATTTTAATAATTTCACATATGTATAAGCCTTAATTGTACAAATCGTTTTTTCAAATACAGGGTAATCATTGTAACCATACTGATCAGTTGTTCTGTGTCGTTTTGACTGACAAGAACCACGTGTTTAAGTCGAGCAAAGAAACATGTTGCTCTTTAAGTATTAAAATCTTTATCCAATGTCATCGACCTAGGTTCGCATTAGAATTTAAATTTTGAAACATGTAAAACCATATATCAGTGTCACCGCTACTATTTTAGTGTTAGCTTTGTAACGACTATTTTGCTTACCACAGGGTAAGAATATGGGGGGACAAGATTGGGCAAACAAAATAATCGAAACAAATGCATACGGCACTCAGTTGGTTGTTGGAGAGCTGGGTCGTGGATAAGTTGAAGATATTGGGGGTTGGATTGGGGCAACTACAAAAAAAAAGAAATAAAGGGGTACTTATACAAATCTCTTGGGACAAACAGAATGAAAATAAACGGAAACACCTCAAGAAATTTAATATAGGCGCCACTTGAGGTGCCTAATTATACCTATTACAACCACTAGTTGTAACTAGGGAAATAATTATAGAACATCAAAAATATAGAAAAAAATATCTTTTTTAAATAAAACTCAAAATAGATCAGAGAAACAAATTAAACATTTATTTTTGTCTCAAACAAACAGTTATCAAAAATACAGATTATAAAAGAAACATATCATGTAACATAATACAAATAACAAAAACTTACATGTTTTTTGTTTACATAAAAGATTGCTACAAATATTTTAAAATAGTTCCTAGGTTATATTATGGCCAATTTAGATTATTAAAATTTTATGGATATCCTTTTTATGAAAATATTATTGAATTTAACCTCTATGACAAAAATAATATAAAACTTTAATTATTACAAATCCTTTTATTTTAATGAAAAGCAATTATTAAAAATGTCTTTATAACTTGGAAAAAAAATTAATATATGAAAAGTTACCTTATTTCTCACATGTTTTACTTAACTTTGAAAAGGAAAAACTTGCTACATCTCTGGGAAGCTACGTGGACAGATTTTCAAAATGAAAAACAGGAAACTATTTCCGTACTCAGGCAGGAACGATCTAAACAGGAACTTGGTGGAGGAGTCAAGCTGACTTACGGGGACAATCTATACCATACTTCTTAAAAATTGCCAGTTTCCATTCAAGTCCAATGACCACTCTGACAAAGCTGCTTATGCAAAGCAAAGAGTATCATTACTTTAACTGGTCTTAAGACATTACTAAAAAATTGAATCCACCGTTTCAAATCGGTTCTTCCACTTACATTGTCACACGTCTGCCCTACTTGTAACTTAAATGTCGACTCCTTATCCGCGTTACATTTTACAAATTCAAAGCCAAATAATTTCCCTTCCGTCTTACAGCTAGCCTGTCGTCCACAAACTTAAAAACAAACAATATCCCTCGCTCGTCCCTACGAACTGCCATAAAAAATCTTTATTTTCACCTGACAATGTAACAAAGAGTTCGATATTTGAATCTAAACGCAGACAAAAACATCTATATTTACTTTTGAATCGGTTATTCTAACCGGAATATTAGGTGGACTTCATGTTACATAATACCTCTTTAGCGACAAAAAACTTGTTGTTTCACCTAACATTGCAACACAGAGATAAAAACATATTTCCAGCGTTAATACGCATTTAAAAATCTCGTCAAAAAAAACTTGAAATATTTTTTGATTGTTTTCTTGGTAAAAACAACAGGAACATACTACAGAAATCTTTTATATACACATTAAATAAAAAACGCTACAGCTTTAATTATAAAATAAGGCACTGAGGATGATCTGAACTAGATCGAAAACATTCACCTGTATAAATTTTGGATGGCACTTTTAAACAAGTTTTAAATTAAATGTTTGATACCTAGATACAAATTTGAAGTGTTATACTTCTGTATAATTTGTTTACCAAATTTAGCGTTTATTTGTATAATATAAAAAGTTTCATCTACAATGTTTTGGTTTCAGAAATTACAAGAACAAATTACGAAAAATTCGTCGATGTTGGATAGGGACGCTGTTTACACAAAAACTGTAAGTTTTACATTTCAATCAATAACAAAATTTTACGTCTATTATTTGCTTTTAGTCAAAAATTAGTAGGTTGCCTGCATACTTAACAGTACAGTTTGTTAGGTTCTACTACAAGGAAAAAGAATCGATCAATGCAAAAATTTTGAAAGATGTTAAATTTCCTTTAGATTTCGATGCATATGACCTATGTTCACCTCAGTTGCAAGAAAAACTAGCACCCATGAGAGCCAAATTCAAGGTAAGTTTGTTAACAATTAAATATTAAAATGAAAAGTGTTACTCTACTTTCTTCTCTTCTTCTTGTGAAAACATAACCGCAGAATTCAAAAAGAGCGATAAGAAACAATAAGAAAATTACAGAGGTATCAATTTGCTAAATACTTCCCTGAAACTTACAAAAAAAATTTTGCAAGAATGAATAAATCGGTTCATAAACTTAGCAGATGAGCAACAAGGTTTCCGTACGAAAGATCGTACACATGTTATATTCGTTATAAAACAGATTACAGAGATATTAGAATACATTCCTATGGTTGATCGACCGAAGAAGGCTTTTAACAGAGTAAGAAATAAAGATTTAATACATCGCTTGTATAATACAGAGATTCTGCTGGATATTATAAAAATAATTGAAAACGTCTATCAAAACAATAAGAGGGAAGTCAGAATAGGCATACAACTTACGGAACCTTTTTTTTTTTAGGAGGAGGAAGAAATATTCATAGGATCGTAAGGGTGGACCGCAGCACCCAAAATATCTTGTTAATTACAGTCTCCCAATTATGGGATTCAGTCCGCTCACTCGATCCAGACACCGGTGATGCCGAGCGAATTGAGCGTGAGAACGCAACTGTCTACCCACTAAAACCCCCTCATTTCCAGTCGTGGACACCCGGTACGTGTTCTTAGCAAACGTTACTTTGGCTGCCCCTCTGCTGACCCGCTCTCTACTCCTTGCCAGTTAGGAGGAATAGTCCATCTTTTGATTTATTTTGTTCGATTTGATTTGTTTCATACAAGAAGGAATAAAAATCTTACAGTCTTCTGTCATTCTTTCATCTCCCATCTTCTCTTGCTTCCTCTCGTATTTCCTTTTTTTTATTATTTCTGATATTAGTTATACTATCACGTTAACGTTCTCTGTGTTTGCATGCCTACATTCATTTTATTCTCTGGTGTTTTATCTCCTAGTCTTGTTCTCATATCTTGTTGTTTATCATGAAAATCGTAGCAATGGAATACGCAGTGCTCTGCTTCACGCATTGCGCACTCTATACATAAATCGTCTTCAATTTTCCTTATTACATTTATACCAGTCTTTCACATCTCGAATTAGTGTATTTTTACATTGTGCTTTTTCTGGTTGTGTCTCCCATTCTTGCTGCCATTCATTTAGCATTTGTTCTCTTACCTCGGCTGTCGCCCGTGTTAGGCGGCCGTTATCATTCAGCCCTATTCTGTAACTACAAATCGAATAGAAATGAGTCAAATCGAGTAGAGGTCAGCGAGTCGGATCGGAATTTGTAGGAATCGGTATTCTGTAACTCATCTCGACCTCTACTATCGGAATGTTGTGTAGAAATTGATTTTGACTAGACAAGCTCTGTCGAGATCAAATTTCGACATCGAAATTGGTCTTGACGCTTGCGCATTAGTTGTTTTGACATTTATTTGTTGACTTTTTGATCTAAATTAGCGGTTGATTAATTTTTGTAGCTACTTCATTTTTTAGTCTGTGGTGTTATTCATTTAGATAAAGTTTACTAAATAATTTAACTGCTCAGCAAATGTCTTCTTCTTTGCTTTCCCGCTTGCCATTTTGCATTCTTGTAACGAACTTTTCAAACTTAACCAAAATATGTCAAAACTACTTGACGTGAAATATAATCTTCTTTTTTGATGAATTTTTCGCGAGCACTAGCCTTTCCAGTAACTTAACGTCACAGAACACTTCTTTCGCGTTTCAATGCGGGGTTGCCACCAACTTCTGAGCGCGTCAAGTAGAAGTTGATGTTTTCGATTTACACCGATTACGATGTGAGTTACAGAATGCCAATCATTGTCGTATAAGATCTTAGGTTCTTTCGTTAGGAGGTAAATACAGTACGTACCCACAATCACCTGTAGGACTATCGTTGATGTAGTCCGGTACGCGCTTATTACCTTAAAGGGATTTTTTTGTCTTCTTGTTATTTCCTTATATTTTATTAAATATTAACACGTCAAGCCACACGGAGGCCGTATAGAAGGGTCGATTGTTTTATAGTTGCTTGGCCCGCTTATATTTGGCATAATCTTTGCAATGGCAGCGGTTCTCTATTCATTTTTCTAGGCTACATTTATCGGGTGTTTCATGTATATCAAATCTGAATAAACGTGTATGCCCAAATATTTAGCACAGTTACTCGGCTCTATAATACTACCATTTAAATAAAAATTTAGCCCTTTATGTCTGTTTTCCGTCTTGCCAGCTCTAGGTGATTTTCTATCATCCACCTGTTGATTTTTCTGTAAAAAATTGTCACCTTATCTTTAATATGGTAATTCCTATATTAGTCTCTATTAGGATTGCGATATGCCGATGACAAGATATGCCGATGACACGGTACTAATCGCAGAAACTTGGGAAGATCTTCAAATACTAATTAACAAAATAGTAGAATGCAGTGAAGAACACGGATTATCACTTAACATAAGCAAAACAAAAATAATGCTAATATCTAAATCACCACAAAACTTCCCTGACATAACCGTGCATGATCAAAGAATCGAACGTGTAAGAAGATATAATTACCTGGGAACTGTTATCAACGAAAATAATGACTGCTCTGAAGAAATCAGAACCAGAATAGAGAAAGCTAGAGCCACATTTACTAAATTGAAAAAGGTGTTCTGCGGAAGAGATCTAAGTCTAAAACTTAAAATTCGCCTTTTGAGATGTTACGTTATGTCAGTTCTCCTCTACGGGATGGAAACATGGACATTGAAAAAGATCGATACCAAAAAGATAGAAGCATTTGAGTTGTGGATGTATCGTAGAATATTAAGAATACCCTGGACAGAGAAAGTAACAAATGTGGAGGTTTTGCGGAGAGTGCGGAAAGAGAAAGAGCTGATACTTACTGTTAAAAAGCGCAAACTACAATATTTGGGACATGTTATGAGGGGAGATAAATACCAGCTGCTGCAATTGATTATACAGGGAAAGATAATGGGAAAGAGATCTATAGGAAGAAGAAGGCATTCATGGTTGAAAAACTTGAGAGAATGGTACAATTACACCAATTACCAACTGTTTAGATCTGCAGCATCAAAAATACGCATAGCTTTGATGATAGCCAAACTTCGGAACGAAGACGGCACTTGAAGAAGAAGGATTGCGAGTTTGTCTGCATATGCTACGGTGTAGGTTTGTTGACCATAGTCTATTTGTAATACCCTGTTGTACAATGCATTCCATAGCGTAGGTTCCAAAACGGACCCTGTTGTACTCCTGATAATAATTTTATGACAGATTGGCAACGCGGATACTGGTATGGAGTCCGAGAGATAATGCCTACCGAAGTAGAGGTAGACCACCAACACGATAGACTGATTATTCAAAGTGTTGCCAGAAAACTGAATGCAAAAGGCACAAAATCGAAACAGATGGAAAATTATGAGAAAGATTTTTGCCTACCAGTTGACTGGAAGGGAAAATTGAATGATGAAGATTACATATTAATTTTCGCGGATTCATATATACCCCTGACATTTGATGTATTAATTTTTAGTTTATGAATACTGTAATTTTAGTTGTTTGTAATGGACTACAAATAAGGTACATTTTAAGCTTTAATAAACATAAAGGATTGTAAGTAAAGTTTTCTTTACACATTACTTAATTGGAACTTCAACGGAAGAGCATATTACACTGTATGAATTTCAGTAGAGTTTTGACGTCTTCTAATATCTTTTTCGTTTCGGTAGAAATATATTTTGTGTGATTTGAAATTGAACCTTTGAAGTCCGGTTTAGGAGTCGGTAATGCACCTTAGAGGTGCTATTCAGATCGTTTCAGTAATTACTTCCGTCTACATTGGTTGTCAAAAACCCATTACGTCTCATGTGTTTCGTCAAAAGACTGAACTTAAATGCTCAACGTTCATTAGCTCTTGTACATAACCCAAACTGCCAATTTGGTGATCTTAAAAATGTAATAAATGTAAGTAAATGTAAATCTAATATTTGTTTACCGTAGGAATTTGAAGATGCTCAAGTAGAACGAGCATCAAAAGAAAAAGATAAAGCTGTTCAAGGCGATAGTAAGGAAGTGAAGAAATATGCTCCTTATTCTTTTGAGGATGGTAAGTTAAACAAATTTGTTAAAAATAAAATAACAATAACAAAATAACGTTGGGATACAAGATGTAATTCATTCTCGCTATTTTTGTAATGTTAATCGGTTAAATAAGATACTCTAGGTAGCATCTACAAGATATCCAATATGGGTATATTGTACAGATAAAAAAGATAAAGATAGAAAAGTATATAATATTTGACACACACGACTTGTTCTCAACTGCAAATTTTGATTACTGCCCAATGCGATAATATGCAAATTAGATGCCTTCCGAAATGACGATTACTCTACGTTCACTCAAGTCATAGAGGATAAATAAGTTGGAAGGGTGAGGGGAACAAGGTAGAAATTCGTAGAATGGAATAGACACATTCGTAGAAATTGATCGCATAAGTTAGAATAACCAAACACTTTAAATGGTTGAGACGCAAATCATTTATTAGAAAACGCAATTCAAGCAGTTCGAATAAAACATTAAAAGAAATACCGAAGAAGTAACACCTGTAAAATATAAACAAACTATAAAATAGTTTATATTCTTGAGCCGACTTAAAGATGGAATTGAAAACATTATTTGGGTTTTAATACGTACGATATAGCGAAACTGAAATGCATTAAAAATACTCTTCGATTTTTCAAACATATATGAGGGGATTTCAATTTATTTCAAAGAATTTATATATCAAACGATTTGTAAATGCTACGCTGTAGGTGTTCGGTTTTTTACCTATGAGCATCCATTTTGTTTTTAAGACATTTTTAGTTTAAGCCAAATCTCTTTAAATACAACACCCACTGTTTGTAGATGACTGTCTTCTAAGCTGCTGGTTATGATGACGGTATCGTCCAGGTATTTGATATTATCCATTCGTTGATCCAGTCATGCTTATTCCTTCCTACATTTTAAAAAAGTGTAGGAAAGTTTTTTGAAAAATTACTGTTGGTTTTTATTCCTCGAGACTGATTCCAGTATAAATTTGCAATCATTCTGATGTCTTTTGAGTGTAGACCTGTGGATTTAAGAGGTTTTATTAGTTTTTCATGCTTTATGCTGTTCAAAGGTTTTTAAAAAGTCGATGAAACGTACATACACATCTCGGCTTATATCTCTGCATCTCTGTATAAGCACCTGTAAAGAGGAAACTGCTTCATGGGTGCCGAATTGAGTCTGGCAGCCTTGATATTGATTAGACGATTCTATATTCCACGCAAGGTTCTTTTTTATGTAATACACGAAAGACTAAAATCTTTAAGCTTTTGAGGTATTGCCCAAGATATCAGAAGAACAAGCAAGATTATATCTTTATATCTAATTGAATATAGGCTTGACCTAAAGTTTGTTAATTATAAAATTTCGTCCTTCTACTAATACAAATATATGTACTTTTCAGATTTAGGAAGTAATAATAGTGGTTACTACACCTTGCAAGCGGTGCTTACTCATAGAGGAAGATCTTCGTCTAGTGGCCATTATGTAGGTTGGGTTAGACAGTCGGGAGATAAATGGATAATGTGTGACGACGATAACGTCTCTCCTGTTACTACAGAAGATATCTTAAAACTGTCTGGAGGAGGTAAGTTAAGTTTTAGATATCATTAATTCTAAAATCCACAAGGAAAATAATTCCTACAGCTGGCTGTATACCACGTATCGCAAAAAAGAGGTTAAATCTTTGTAAATGGGTATATTTAAAATACCCAATATTTAAATATACCCACTTACAGAGATTTAACCTCTTTTTTTTTCATTAATTCTAGTTTTAAATAAACTAAACAAAAAAGACAACATACCAATTGATACAATTTTGGTTTGGCAAAGGAGTGAAAAATACCAAATAAATAATAAATGTATATAAAAATAATAGGATAACACGATTCTCTTGGAAACGGTACTACACAATTTCGTATAGAGGGCCGAGTACGTTCTAAAAACCAAGAGGTGATGCCGGATAAGTAAACAACGAAATAAGCTGCATACAAATAGACTGCATACTGAGGAATCGTGTGCTATACGCAACGTTAATGGGGGATACAATCTCAACCCAGGTAGCCAGAGGCTATCCGCAAGGGTAGTCCTATCTTCTCTCGTGTGTAATCTGGTCATAGAAGGAGTAGTAGCTAGACTCAGCAAGGTGTCCCAGGCTATGCACATGACTTGTTTATCGTAGCATACAGCAAATTTAATGCCAAATAAGAGATATAATGCAACAGGCTCCGATTGTAGTTAGAGAACGGATTCAAATGTAAGGCTTATAGGAAATATACGAGAGTGGGAATTAGTTATTATAGGTCCTTGTATGGTACAAACCTAAATCTGATGAGTGAAGTAAAGTACCTTGCGGTACTATTCGTTTCGAGGATTACTTGGAATCAGCAGATGGAACGAATAATCAGAAGAGCAGTGACTACATTAATGGTAGAAAAACGTACTCATGGAAAAATGTGCGGTTTAAAACCAATAAGAAGGTGGTAAAACGAACAATTACATATGCATCATTGGTATGGTGACCAAAGGTGTAGCAAAAAAGTATCATCCTTAAAAGTAAATTGGGAAGTCCAAAGACTTGCTTGCTTTGAAATTAGAGGGGCTTTGAGGGCCACACCACCAGCAGTCATTGTGCTCTTGTGGACACTATCAAATGACTCAAGAAACATATCGACTGGTCCAACGAAGACTGTAGTAACTCATTTTTTATGTAATTGAGATAATTATAAAAATGTATTTACACTGTTACCAAAATTCATTAATCTATTAAATGGATGTTTTTATAGTAATAAGTGATACATTTAATAATGATCTTACAAGGGTAAAACAGATTTAAGACAGAAATGGTCATAAGTGACTTTTGAATGAGTTACTATAGTTTTCGATGGAGATATTTTTAAAGTAATAAATACCAGAATTATTTGTTTCTTCACTTTATTTATATAAAATGCTACATTTTGAAGAAGCTACTGATATAATTTGCAGTTTTATATTTTAATTCAATTTTCCTCATCCGACTCTTCTTCGCTCTCAACTGAATCAACTTCGAGCTCGACTTTAGGAGGTACATAACTCTTTGAATTAAGATTTTTAACATCATAAACTCTTCCTGTAGTTTTAGCCATTCTAATTAATGTAACCCACTGTTCTGGCACATATAGAACCGATTGCCTTTTCTTTGCATTTTCGATAACAGCATGCATACTGTCACCCTCGTTCTGAGTGTGGCCTTTTTCCAAAAATCTGTGAACAATATCAATATGAAAATGAGCAGCAGCAAAAGCAAACATCGAAAACACAAAACGATTCCTATTTTGTCCCTCACAGTTGTCTGAGTAGAACATTATCGTTTTAACACTTTGTTGTGCCTTGAGATCTAAAAATTTCCAGAGGCAACTGGCAATTTCATCCTGTTTTAGCCACCTGCTCGTGCCATACATAGCAGTAACCCTGATTATTTCCAACATCATAAACTGTAAAGTTATATGTAGAGTATTTGCTTTTGTAGTAAAAATCACTTACGTTAGACAAAGGGGTAGCTAAAACCTTTTGAAGGTCAAAGCAAGCCACACACAAGCTCTTATCATCTAGTGCAAGCTGTTTAAGTGTCTATGGCTTCTAAGCTTCTGATAACTTCTTTGTTTTTCATATGGGACTCATATTGTTCGAGCAATTTTGCTTTTTCAGCATCACTAGCCATATTAAAAACACAACAAACAGTACACTGGTCCTTTTTTGGTTTAAAGAACCCAATATTGAACTGTTCATTGAAAATATCTCTATACTGGCGTGACGTGGCAGCTGTAGTGATGTTATTTTTTCGCAATGCTCGTTGTACAATCGGTATATTTTCTGGATAATTAGCCCTTCTTCAAGGTACATCTTCATCGTATTCTTACGGGTATAATGGGAAGGTACTACAGGAAACTGATTTATGTGATTTTTTACGTTGTCTATAAGTTCTGGTGATAGTTTATGTGGTCTGTTAGTGTGCTTTCCACGTTTATCTTCCTCTAATGATCCACCATCTTTCAGTTTCCCTAATGCTGCAGTGATCCAAGTTTATGAAACGTTAAGGGTTTCCAAAAACATAGTTTTGCAAACACGTTGTTTTTCATTGCGAATGTAGAAGTAATATTCTCGAGAGTAATTTCTTCGAGACCGTTGTTCTGCAGTAATAGTTACTTGTTTTTTGGCAACCTGTCTCACATGACGAGCAATAAAATCCCACTTTCTCGTATGATCTTTTAACTTCCAAAATTCATTGAAAAAAACGTCTCTATCTTCTTTAGCTATTTTGGTAGCACATTTTAGTCTACATGTGTTTGCGCATGGTGCACCCATCTGTCTTCCTTTAATTTGAATACCTTTTCTATTTTCATGTTCAAGTCCCAGGTTTAGACTTGTTTTAGATTTTTCATCCGCCCACTTACCAAGGTCTCTAATTATTTTCCTACTTACTCTCTCTATATTGCCTCTGCTTCTTCTCTTTCTATTTGTGGTTGCTTCAGTTATATTCTTATTAGGTTCAATTATTACTTCAGGGATGTTTTTGTCTTCTGTCTGAATGTAATCTGGGTCAGTATCAGAGTCTGCATGAAATGGTTCCTCATCGCTTTCCTTCTCAATTATTTCATTTTCATTCCTATTGGCTTCATTCTCTTCTAAGCTTACTAAAATGAAATAAAAATGAGGTAAATGCCTACGTAATATTTTTTCATGCGGAATTTAAACCAACCTGTAGAACATTCAGGATTAATATCAGTCTCGTGGTTACCAGGATCCTCATTCGCCTTTTTGTATTTGCTTTCTTCTACAATACTTTCAGCAATATGTTTACCTTAAAAAATAAGTAGGTTTTTACTTTGCTGTTATTATTTTAAATAAAGTTTATTATAAATTTACCTTCAAAAGAACGATAAGAAATATCCGTTTCAGTGTTTTTATACGCTTTCTCAGCTAATTCCAATATTAACTCACTTCTGGAACACTTTATGGCAATTATAACAAAACTAAACTTTTGAACATATCCTTAAACTAACGCAGAATACCGTAGTAACTCATTTTACGATACCTATGCTATCGCCTCAGATAACAACGAAGACTATTGTAACTCAAGATACGATGATTTTCTACGGTTGTTTTTCATAAATCGGAGATACTATAAAACTCTTACACATAATAGTGGTTGCATAACTACGTTTACTGAGATACGATTCTTTCCTGGGGAAGATATCATTATGTTTTATTGTTTTGCGCTCGTAACTCAAAAAGTGGAAAATTTGAGTTACTACAGTCTTTGTTGGACCAGTCGATATGATACCAATCCTATATGCCTGTACAAGCTGGTACAGCCAACAATTGGCTGCTGCAGTAAGACCGGTTTATAATATTTAAGGAATAGATAGTCTCAAATACATCATATAATAAATAAATTATAACTAGTGAAATGTGGAACTCAATTCCCTACAAAATTGGAGATGCAGAAATTGATCTCCGAATTGAGGGTTTTAATTTAAGATATCTTGAACTTGTGTAACGGTTATGTTTATTTTACCTATGGTATAGTATAATTAATATTTTCGGAAACATATAGTTATATAATATAATCGATGAGAAATGAGAGTTGATAATCAAATATTAATTGTTTAACATAAAATTTAACGTTTAAATAATCTTCTCATTATTTTTAGGTGATTGGCATTGTGCTTATGTACTTCTTTATGGCCCAAGATTGTTGGAAATCAGTTCTACAGATGAAAAAATGGTTACAGAATAATCAAACAGAATTAATGAGACTTCGATGCTTTAATTATTTTTACCTTTGTATTCGTTTTCGAGCAAAAACCTGACTCGACTTTTATAAATAAATAAAACAAATTTTTCTTCTTTTTGCAGTATTTTAATATTTAACATCCTTATTTAATTGAAGCTAGTTTGAAGTTTTGTCTACATATTCCGAAAAATCTTAGTATTCTAGTAGTAGACTGTTCTAGTCTCAACAGTTCGTTACAGCGATTTTGAAGAATTTTGGGAGGATTGCTTTATGTTGCAAAGAAATTAAATTCTGTTACTTTAAAAAATATATACACATATCGGATATCATACACATTTGAGCGCCTATGTTATTGATAATTGAGACCTGTACTTGCAAAACAACCAATTTCCACTTTCTGGGCAATCTGACCTGAATACGCCACTGGATTCCTTGTAAAAAGACGCATCCAGCTATTCATAAATTTCGTAACATAACTTACCAAACTCACATTGACAATAAATGGAGAAAATTGGTTGTTGTTTTAAAACGACTATTCTTCTAGGTATTGTAGCATGATACTATAACAAAACAAGATATGCTCACTTGCCGTTCTAATTTTGATCGACTTTGCGCATGACGTCATAGCGAGACAAAGCTAGGGGACTTGTGTGGATCATATTTTAACGATGCATCACATGGCAACGTTGTTCCATTATTGTTATGAACAACTTCGAAACTTAAACTGTTAACGGTAAGTATACCTCGATGCCATATCTTGGTATATCTCACTAAGAAGTCATAACTAGTTTACTTTCTGTTAAAACGTGGTTTGAAAATAAATAAGTAATTTGTATAATTAATTAAAGAAATCAATGAATGTACGATTTGATTGTGTGTATTACAAACAAAATAAATATTGCTACAAAACAAAACTTAAATATAAAATGCCGGTAAAATGTAAAGAATTTGATCATTAAGGAAAAGCGAGTTATACTTGAGACTTTATGAATATCATTTAGACATTTATTTTACAATCTTTGTGATTTTTGTCTTGCGGATATTGTAATTATCTTTAATATTTTTATTTAGAATTCGTATTTTAAAATACATTTTACATCTAAAAAAGAAGTAATTTACATCTTCGCTACATTTATTATAGAAACATTTATTATTATCTATAGAAACATTTGCTCTGCCGTCAAAGTGTGTCTAAAACCAAAATGATTACATGTTTTTTAATACATTTCTTTTCTCCATTCTTTTTTTGCGTCTATTTTCAGGTGATGTCGTAAGATTAATGTGTGACGGATCTTGAGGTGTTCTTCTTCTCATGGCGCCGACTCCTTTCGAAAGTTTGCGATCCAAATGGCAATTGTGGTTTTGGAAACTGCTGCGCGAAAGATTGAGGTGTTGGAAACTATAATCAGAAAATGCAGCATGAAGGTGGAAGAAACGATCATGAAAAATGAACACCAGTGCTTGGCATTTGCTGACAATCTTACGATTCTAAACGATCCCGAGAAAGAATTAGAAGAGTTGTGAAGAAAATCATTGAAGAAGCACAGAAATTCGGATTGGAACTAAATGAAGACAAAACCAAATATATGATCATGGGAGGGACAGAAGGGAAAAAAGAAAAATTTAGTGTGAGGTCTGTAAGTGGTAAAAGCTGTAGTTTTAAAAGGGTGGACAAATTTAAATACCTGGTTGTAGTTTTCGATGAAAATGGAAAAGAGAAATGGGAGCTCGAAGCTAGAATAGCAAAAGGGAATAAAAAATTAGGTAGTTTAAGAACCCTACTGAACTCAAAATACGTTTCTAGACAAGGTAAACTCAGAATATATAGAACAGTAATTCGACCCACAGTAACATATGCCGGTGAGACATGGACAATAAATAAGAAGGAAGAGGATACTCTGGAAAGATGGGAAAGGAAAATATTGAGACGCATATTCGGAGGACGGAAGACAGGATGGTTGGGAAAGAAGAACTAACAATGAATTAATGGCTTTATACAAAGAACCTACCATTACTAATTCGTCAAGTCATAAAGAATCAGATATTTGGGATATGTGGAAAGAATGGCAGCAAACAGAATGCCTAAACTAGTATTAAACAGAAAACTAATCGGCCCCAAAAGAAGAGGTAGACCCAAAATTACTTTGAGATATTAGTATTGCGTCGTCTGCATAGCAGATGATTTCAAGTTGTTTTTCTCCCACTTGGTATCCTTTTTTCTGTATATTTTTTTATTATTTCATCCATGATCAGGTTAAATAATAGGGCTCAGAGAATCCTCCTGTCTTATTAGATTGCCAGCCTCAATTGGGTCGGTTAGTTATTTTTCCTTTACTTTTTTTGTTTTTGGTATATATTATCCGATAGTATCCCTTTTGCGTACAATAAGTGGATAACGTCCTTTAATTCGACCTTGCATAATATAAATATGAAGGTTTGTTGAATTCTAGTGATTTCTCCTGAACTTGCCTTATTATAGATACGGCTTCGATGCATGAACTTCCTAATCTAAAACCTTGTTCTAGTTCTGCTGGTGGTATCATTTTATTAAGTTTATTTGTTATCCCTTTGGTTGTTAATTTTAGTATTGTATTTAATAGGTTGATTCCGCTGTAGTTTTCCGGGTATGATTTGTTCCCCTATTTGCAGATATATATTAGGATACTTGATCTTCATTCCTGTGATATTCTCTTTTGTTCTATTATTTTTGGATTAGTTTTAATAGTTCTTCGGTCAGATCTGGTCCTTCGTACTTTAAGAGTTCGTTCCCTTCTGTTAATTTTCTATTTAATTTCCTCAATGATTCCTTTACATCTCCCTCCTCAATGTTTATTTCTTCGTTTGTCCTCACTTCTAGTGTTGATGGTTCATCATAGTCACCTTTAGCATATAGGGATCGAAAGTAGTCAGCCCATGATTCCTTCTGAATAATGCCTTGATTTTATTGGTTCGTTCATCTCTTTTCTTTGTCCTCTGATCATTCTCCATGTTTTTCTTTGCGTTCCTTAGAAGTCGTGTTTCATCTGTTTTGGGAAGCTTTCTCTGTGGTGCCTTTTTATTTTGCTTGCCGAAGTATTTGTTTCATTTCGGATTCGTTTATAGTTGTTGTATGTCTGTAGTGCTTGCTGTATTAACTCTTATTTGATACCACACTTTCATGAACATCTTAAATAACAAATTAACAAAAACCTTTAGCACACGAGGTCCACGCTGGGCACCAGATACCTCGGAGTTTATCCCGTGGTAATATTCCTGTTCAGCACCCCAAAAAAACCATCTAATAATGAGTTTTGACTGATTTCGAATAAAAATATAAAAATCCAGGAGACAAGGACTACACTGGGCTCCAGGTACCTCGAGGATCATTGCTGTCATACTATTGGTGTGACTTTCGGCTGATTTCGAATGAAAATAACATAAAACTCCAGGAGACGAGGTCTATCCTGAGTACCAGGTAGCTCGAGACCATCGTCATTGCCATATTTGTATTCAGCGACCTTGAGTTATGACTGTGAACTGATTTAGAATGAAATTAACATACTCCAGGAGACGAGGTCCACTTCGTCATCGATAACGGATAACTTCGTTATCGTACTCGTGTTAAGCGACCTCGAAAACCCCCGAGTAACAAAATTAAACTCATTTCTGCCGATATTTTCTTAGTTGTAAATTTTTCATTTTACTAGCATGAATTCGCTCCAAAAACTTTCCTGGCACTTTCCTGAATCGAATACAAAAAGTCGCACAGCGATTCATCTTGCTGCGGAAAATTGGTAGGTTTAGTGCTTCGTTCCCTCGCTTAATTGTCGCTATACAGGGTTGGTCACTCAAAAGAGTCCACCCTGATATTTGGAAATATGCATTGGATTTTATGAAAATGCTAAAACGTGTCAATACCAACACCCTTCCTTCGATCACCCCAACACTTAAATTTTAAATAGGGAACATACCATATGTGGCACATTGTTAGACTGGTATTTTGCTGGATAATTTAGGTATTTATATTTTTTTCGATATTAACTCTATTCTTGTGAAAAAATATCAAAAATATCTTACTGAAGGAGTTACACCTTTTAAAAACTAAACTTAACGCCTATGTTTTGCTAGTGTCAATTTCCGGTCATGTCAAAAACTACATTAAAACGAAATTTGCAACAATAATAAGAAACTTTATTAAATATAACTTAAATAAAATGAACTAACTTATTAAATTCATAATTACAAACAGTTTACTCATCAGCTGTAACTATTTGCTTAAATGTTCAAAATGATATCCATACAATTATTAAGTCGATCGTTAAAACATGACCCCTTTAGATTAAAAATCGACATGTTTAAGTATTTTCCCAAAATCCCATAAATATTGCCAAACATCAGGGTGGACTCTTTTGAGTGGCCAATCCTGTATATTTGGTCTAATAAAATCGTCTTTAATTAATTTTCAGGTTTAAAATAATTTAAGACGATTTTATTAAGTCATAATATTAGTCAAGATAATCAAGATATTATTAATCTAACAGTAAGTTAAGTACTTTATAATTATTTATTATTTTTTTTATTAAAAACTTGATCTATAAATAGACTTTTTTTTTAATTTAAATGACAAATTCCAATGTCTTCACTTTTACTGATTTTTCAATGGGTTTTTACTTTGAGTACCTAACGTCTTCGGTTTCTTACATTCGAGCTTTATTTACATAGGTACTTCTTTACTTACTTGTCATTTCACAGGATCGTATTGGCTTTCTTCAGTTTAGTTTATTAATTGTCACAAAAATTATTGCGTATGGCTTTTAAATGTTCTTAAAAGATATTTTGGCGTTTTTCCAAGTGCAAGATTTTAAATATCACAAAAAATACATCGTTTTTACTTCAAATCATTTTTATTAGTGATCAACAATAGAAAAGTCAAATTCTGCTCATCATTTACAATCACTGCTTTCAAATCTTACCAGAACATTCTTTACATTTGTTACAATACAGACTTTTTAAAAAGCTTTACATACAAAACGCAATACCTACAATTTTACCACCCAAACTTTACTGAAAAAATAATTACAATTTTTTTATGGAAAATAGATTATTTCTTAGCACCACTCAACGTATTTTAAAAAA